TGGACTGTTCACCGAGAACTATCTTAAAATATTCTATATGTCATTTTTTTATACCATTATTCCATTCACTCCTTAATACAGTCAGCATTTTGCCTCACCAATGTAGATACTCCACCCAGTGGCAAAATATATGTTTAGACAATGAGGTTTAAAATTTTTTTTAACTATTATGTTCCCCTTCAACATCACCAGTTCTGCAATGGCCTCAGTGATTTCCTATTATAGCACAGTATTTAAGAACAGATTCTTGAGTGAAAACTTCTTCCAAACCTTGATCCACCACTTTCAAATTATATACCTGGGGTATGTTATTTCCTATCATTGAGTCTCAGTTTCCTCATATATAAAATGGGAATAATGTCCCTGCATCATGGGATATAAATGTATGTAAAGCACTTAGCTCAGTATCTGGAACACAGTCAACACTCAATATATGATAGCCATTATCCACCTACTTATGACTACTACTTAGTCTGTTTTCATCCTATTTAATGAGGTCAAGTTAACCCTCAACTGCTTTCATCATCTGATCAAATCCACACCTCTTAGGCCTTCCATCATTTGCCTTTCCCTATTACCAACAGGAGCGCTCACTCTAATCAAGTCAATCTTGAAGCATCTTAAACATGAGTCAGGCATATTCTCACAGTTGTTATTTTGCCCTTTTCCCGTCTCAAGGAAAAATCTCATCTCACTGTTCTGCTGTGAGAATCTTACCCATTCTTCCAAGCCAAATGTAAGATAGCAATTACCTTTACTTTATAATAAGCAGTGTCTATTCCAGCAAACTTCTTTCATGTAGCCTAAGAATTTTTCCAGTTATTTTATGTATACAAAACACCAATCTTATAAGGGACATGTACTATTTGGTCAACTTTTAATTATACCACATCAGATTTTATATATTAAAATCTTTAGTACTATTTAACACATATGCACACATACCTAGAAGTCTAAAGCAATAATCATTTTTGTTGACTTTTCTTAGGAAGTAAACTTTAAAAGTCAATTGACTAAATAAAATACTGAATAAAATACCCTAAACTGGACTGAATTCTAGATTACCTAAAAATGGGAGAGGAAATTAAGAACAGCTCAATACATTATCTTTACTAAAAAAAAAAAAAAAAAAGTCACAGAGCAAATATTATTTATTTAAAATAAATAATGGGCCAGGCACAGTGGCTCACACCAATAATTCCAACACTGGGAGGCCAAGGTGGGAGGACCGCTTGAGGCCAGGAGCTCAAGACTAGCCTGGGCAACACTGCAAGACCACATCTCTATGCAAAAATGAAAAAAAAATTAACTGGGCATGGTAGCAAGCGCATGTAGGCCCAGCTACTTGGCTGGGACTGGGATGCTGAGGTGGGAGGACCAGTTAAGCCCAGGGAAGTCAACGCTGCAGCGAGCTGTAATGCTGCCACTGCACTCCAGCCTAGGCAACAGAGCGAGACGCTGTTCATAATAATTAAAAGCCAAACAATATCTTGGCTAACACCACCAGAAGCTTCTATTCTGCTTACATTTTCAGAGACATGATGTAGAGAACTTTACAACGTAACTATTAAAATATAAAAGAAAAAATCCCATTGAGCATGACTAAAATGTACTGTTTCTCACTCAAAATCAGCCTGCTCATAAAGGAGCCACTGGCTTCTTTGTCCTCATCCTGTGAGGGTGGGAGCACGTGTTCATAAAGTGGTACGCATAGGCTGATGGACATTCCAGTTTATGACTCAGGTCTGTTTGGTGTGGTTCTTGAAAGTCTTGTGCCACAGCAGATTCAGCTTTATCCTGTTTGGTCACCACCAATTCAGGCCCATCCAGCCTTTATAACAGGCTGCCCAGAGCTTACACAACTACCAGGTTCAAATTCAAAGAGCTCCTGGAGGACTTAACAAGTCAATGGAGTCTTATGTGACAGCCTACACGGAATTCCTCATGTAGGTGAGAAGCCCATTCACAATGTCTAGGTACTTCTATTGGGGAAATAGCTTCCTCTTCAGCTGAGGCCAAGTAGATGCCAAAAATATGGGGAGAAAGTATACTGAAAGATATTAGGGAACTGAGTTAAAAGATCCAGGCTTTCCTCCGTGGTGGTAGACTACAGTACCACAAACACTATTCAGTGTCAACTAAATAATATAGTATGTATGTACATATGTATGTATTGAGATGGAGTCTCGCTCTGTTGCCCAGGCTGGAGTGCAGTGGTGCAATCTCGACTCACTGCAACCTCCACCTCCCGGGTTCAAGTGATTCTCCTGCCTCAGCCTCCCGAGTAACTGGAATTAGAGGAATGTGCCTAATTTTTTTGTATTTTTAGTAGAGATGGGGGCTTGCCATGTTGGCCAATCTGGTCTTGAACTCCTGACCTCAGATGATCTGCCTGCCTCGGCCTCCCAAAGTGCTGGGATTACAATTGTGAGCCATCATGCCCTGCAGACTAAATAATACAGTTTCATATGATGGATGAGAAGAATCCAGAATCCAGGTCACCTAGAACCAAAACTACTTTCACAGGAACATAAAACAATTTTTGGGGCTGGGCACTACTCAGGAGGCTGAGGCAGGAGAATCGCTTGAAACTGGGAGGCAGAGTTTGCAGTGAGCTGAGATCGTGCCACTGCACTCCAGCTTGGGCAAAAGAGTGAGAGTCCATCTCAAAAAAAAACAAACAAAAACACCCCAATTTTTTGAAAGAAACTGTAAAAGATTTACTTGAAAAAGTCCTTATAACTTCCAAGGGCATTAAAAATAATGTCCTCAAAAGAGCAACAAGTAAATTAAAAATATGTAATTAGGAATCTTCACCTCGAACACATCCCCCTGCCCAAATAAGCCAGAATGTAGATTATTCATGATAAATGTGTTTCCTTGATATCCATTCCCAATAAGATACTTCCATTTTTGGCACCAAGTACATCCAGACAATGTTTTGCCTTAAAGATTAGTCAAAATATCTGACAACCCTTATGAATATCTATAAAGACCTGCTAGATCTGGAGTAAGACATGCTCAGCCAGGCACCAGGAGAAGTAGGACAAGAGCAAAAGAAGGTTCTGATAATCATGACAGGACAACAAACATAAACTAGGAAACGGGGACATATATGGTCACCCTACAAGCTGCAGAAAGCATAATTGGTGAATTGTTTTCCCAACTGCTCCAGATCTTGGTCAGTAGCCCACACGCTACAATTATAGTTGCTGAGCCCATCCCCCCTTATTCCAAGAATCTCTGATTGGCTGCCTTGGAAGCTTTAGCTCTTCTCACTGTCACAGCACCTTTGGTTCTACTGTCCAAATGCTGACCCTCTGTTATAACTGCAAGCAGACTGGTGGTCACGCAGATGTCCCCAGGAACTTATTGGGGTTCTCTCTGAACTTTGAGCCATTAGAATCACCAGGATGCCTCGGTCACTGTCAACATCAAAATCTGAATCTTCTTAGACACCATAAGTAGTTACTGTACCTCTAGAGGAACAGAGGGTTCTTCACCCACAGTGATTTAAGACCATCTCTAAAGTGCCCCATCACATTCTAGAAGGATACAGCTGCTGGAAGAAAATGAAGTATCCCACCACCACTCCCATAGTTCTTAAGCTCACACACACCAACCACCATTCCAGGAACCAACTGAAGACTTCAAGTATCATAGTACCAAATAGGGTTGATGTCAAACCCACTTTTAAAATTGGGTTCACTCTCTTGGAGTTACCGAACAGGCTTCCCAACCTCAAAACCATTTCAGAGAATACTCACTGCCTTCCCAGACTTTGCTGGTGACTGCCATCACTGATGTAAAAATGTGGCTGGAACCCTGTGGCTGCCAAAACCAATCTTTGACTCTTTGGCCGAGTCAAACCCCTCACACCACTATGGGAGTGGTGAGAACTTTCTGAAAGGTCACAAACACTTCTGTAAGCCACGACTACCAAAACAAGTCCTCTGAGCCCCTGCCACTCACGGTCTTGTCATACCACACCTACCAGTGAACAGTAATGCCTTATAAGCATATAGTCCTGACTCAAACAGCATCAAGCCTAGCCTTTTCACGGGATAATTTCTAACAGCTGGGTCTACCCATGAGTTACACGAACCACTCTCCAGATTCAATGAGCTTCTATTACCTCTGTTACAACTATCACTCTTGTGAGTACAGACTAAGTAACTCATAGGACTGTTTAGAAGACGCCTTTGCTACAAAGGGCACTCCTCAGAAGTTCTTCCTACCCTCCCAGCAGTTTACGATGTGTGAAGAGAAACACCCCTGACCAGTCACAATCTTCCCTATGTCTGAAGTAGTCAGAGGTATCACACAGTAACCTTGCGCTACTTCTCTTAGGCCCCAATAGGACTATGAACTCCACGAATAAAATCCGCCAGTACTAAAAATGATAACTGCTTATAAATCAACCACCAGGTCAAAGATGGCTTACTAAAAAAAAGTCACAAGAAAAAAAACATCAAATAAAAGTGACCAGCCTCACTGCCTAGCAACCAACCTTCTCACTCATTCACACAGAAGGCAAAATTCAAAAGTAGCTGGGATGCTCATAGGAAGAAAACAGTTGGGATGATGCAGGGGAGACTGATACAAGGCTGTTATTCTAATCATCCCATAACAGGGACAGAGTCACAGCTAGGGAATTATTCAGGAATCAGGAGAAGTTACTCCTGGTAAACAAACTCCCACATATTGGGTTAAAATTTCTTTGGAACTTTATTCATCATGACCCTAGGAGCTCTGTCATGTATTCAAACGGAGAAACAACAAAGCTATAAAAGCAGAGAGTTTTAATTTTGTTTTTATTTTTTAAATAATAGCAACAGGGAACCTGAGTAAGAATAACATGGTAAAACGAGACCTGCAAAAGTTATCAAAAGCAAACATGACAGGAGTAGCACACTTTGTGAAAGCTAGTGTTATCAAAGTACTGACAGAAGAAAGAGAATGAAGCTAAAAAATACAAAACACTTCCTTCAATACCATACCTTATCAATGGCTTTTCCAACCCGAGAAACACTGCTGTGGATGTCTTTGTGGTCCGAGGCCAATTTTTGAACAGTATCCTTTATTCTTTTACAGCACTGTGTCAAAACAAGTGAAAGTGTCCCTGATAATTCAGCATCTTGGCCTATGAAAAAAGGAAGAAAAAAAAGAAAGATTGGTTACTCACTAAAACAAACCAAAAAATGGCAAGTCTCTAATGGGCCTTTTGGACCACAAAAGATGGAAGAAAAGTGAAGAAAACTCAGTATCTGCTTTGAAGCTGATGGTCACATTCATAGATGTGATTTTTCAAATGGATACTAAGAAAGATATAATTTTTTTTATTTTGGGAAATAAGAAAATTTTACTGTGAAAGGAATCATTTTTACCATTACAAAAACCAGCACAGACTGTGAATAATACTGTCAAGGCACTATTATTTTTGAGAAAATAAGTCTAAGTGAATAAACTCACTTATTAAACCGAGTTACACTGTTCAAGTCATTCTCAAAACGTTCTGATTGTTACTAAATTTCCTCAACAGAGATGATTTAGTGCAAACACATCATATTCCATATAAAGAAGTAGAAGAAAACAAACTTCCCTGGATACCACCATGTGCGGAAAAGAGTTAACACAGCAGGTCATAGACTGCTACCCTTAGAGAGTCCTGCTTACAAAGTCGCCTCTTGGCTGACATATAGAAACTTGGGAGTTTGGGAGTGTTCCCATCACTCCCTAACTCAGTGTTCCCCCTACCTTTTTGGCACTAGGGACCAGTTTCGTGGAAGACATTTCTTCCATGGACGAGGGCTGGGTGGGATGGTTTCAGGATGAAACCGTTCCACCTCAGATCAGGCATTAGTTAGATTCTCATAAGGAGCACGCGCGCCAGATCCCTCGAATGTGCAGTTTACAACAGGGTTCATGCTCCTGTGAGAATCTAATGTTGCCACTGATCTGACGGCAGGTGGGGCTCAGGCGGTAATGCTCGTTCACCGCCACCTGCCCCCTGCTGTGCGCGGCCTGATTCCTAACAGGCCACGGAGGGGTACTGGTCCATACCCGGGGGTTTGGGGACCCCTGCCCTAGCTGAAAAGAATGGCTCATTGTGCCTAAACTGTTGTACAGTGTGGTTTATGGTGAACATCTGCTTTCCTTCTGGGAATCTAGAAGTTTGATACCTGCTGGGCAGTGAGTACCTGGCTTTCTCCTGGCTTGGAGAAAGCTTCCAACAGTCCTCTCCCAGTGAAGTCACACGAAACATGCTTAATTCCTGCAGCTATGGGTTGTGAGAAGTGTTAAGGGTTGCCTACCAGGGAAACTCATTAGAAGCTCAGTGCCCAGGATTTTTATTGGGGGCTGGTCACCAAGGCACCCACTGCCTGACTCTGGACTGCCTAACTTTGGACTTTTGCCCCATGAATCTTTTCCCTTTGGTGGTTTTGCTTTGCACCCTTTTGCTGTAATAAATTTTAGCTAAGATTATATGCTGAATTGTGTGAATTCTTTTAATGAATCACTGGAACCTAAAGGTGGGTTTGAAGACCCCTGACACACATGATCAACCAAAAGTTACTACAGTTTACATCCTTTCCCTGAGCTACCTCCCTCCAAATTTTGTTCCTACAGCGGGAAAAAAAAGAGGAGAAGGGAGAAAAAGAGACAGATAAAACAAATCCAGTTATGGTATTTGTCATTTATCTCTATATCTACATATTCCCACCTGTAAGCAACAGGCCTGGTTTCTGAAATCCTAACCAACATTATATAGCAGAGGTTCTTGAATTTTAATTTACTTCAGAATCACTTAAAGTTAAAACAAAGTAGCTGGACCCTATCCCCAGAGTTTCTCATTCAGTAGGTCTGGGATGGGACCTGAGAATTTGAACAAGGAGCCCAAGAGTACAACAGCCCTAGGATGCCCACTCATTTAACCAATATTTATTGAGCACTCATTATATGTGACAGGTACAGCAGTGAAACAAAATAACCAAAAATCCCTTCCCAAGAACTTAACTTCTGGCAAGAGACATAACACACAAAATAAGCAAACTATAAACGATGACAAAAGATGATACATGCTACCTGGGGGAAAAAAGCAGGGTAAGAGAGATGGGGAGCATGTATGGGTGGAGCAACCGCAACTTTAAAACAGTGCTGGCATGGTAGGCTTTACTGAGTAGATGACACTGGAGCCAAGACTTGAAAAAAGTGAAGGAACTACCTACCATGTGGCTGGCTGCTTTGGGGAAAGCATGCCAGCCTGAGGGGAGAAAAGCCCTATTGCAAAATACACCTAGACTATTCAAACAACAAAGAGGCCAGCATGTCAAAAGTGGATTTCTGGCCAAGGAAAATAGAAGAAGAGGTCCAAGAGATAATGGTCCTGGTTTGGTAGGATCTTTGGCATTTTAAAGACTTAACGCTTTTACGTTGACTGAAAGGGACCACTGCAAGGTTTTGAGCAGAGAAGGCATGTAAACTAATAAAAAAAATTTTTGGGGGGGGTTTTTTTGTTTGTTTTTTTGAGACAGGGTCTCGTTCTGTTGCCCATACTGGAGTGCAGAGGCACAATCTCGGCTCACTGCAACCTCTGCTTCCCGAGCTCAAGCAATCCTCCCACCTCAGCCTCACAAGTAGCTTGGATGACAGGCGCCTGCCACCACACCAGATAATTTTTGTATTTTTTGCAGAGACAGGGCTTCACTATGCTGCCCAGGCTGGTCTCAAACTTCTGTGCTCAAGCAATCCTCCTGCCTTGGCCTCCCAAATTACATAGATTACAGGCATGAGCCACCATGCCTGGTCGATAAAACATTTTCATATGGTCAGTCTAACTGGCAACAAGAGTACCAGAACTGAGCAGGAAAATAAGAGGCTGTGGCAGCAATCTAGATGAGAAATGACACTGGCTCAGTCCAGGATTTCATGACTGGACATGAGGGAAGAAAAGGACTCACAGATGTCTCCAAGGATTCTAGCCTGGGTCAACTAGAAAGATGGAGTTGTCTTCAATTAAAACAAAAAACAAATCAGCACTCTGGGAGGCCAAGGCAGGAGGATCACTTGAGCACAGGAGTTTGAAACCAACCTTGGGCAACAGAGTCAGACCCTGTCTCTATAAAACATACAAAAATTAGCTGGGCATGGTGGCACACGACTTTGGTCCCAGCAACTTGGGAAGCTGAGGCGGGAGGATCACTTGAGACTGGGACATCTAGGCTGCAGGGAGCTACAGCACTTCACTCCAGCCTGAGTGACACAGCCAGACCTCAACTCCCCATCCTGCCAAAAAAGAATAAAGGCTGAGCAGGTATGAGGGATAAGGAGAGACAGAAAGTTCAGTTTGGGGCTTGTGAAGTTTGAGACGTTGAGTAGGCACCTCAGTGCATAAGTGGAGGAGTTGGTGAGATACACAAACCTGGAGTTCAACAGCAGTGTTAGGGCTGGAGATACAAATTTGTGAGTCACTGCCATATATATATATATAAAACTCAATGCATGGGACTATATGAAATCATCAGGGGAGTCAGTACAGACACAGAGAAGTGATAAAAGAATTGAGTCTTGAGAACACCAAGTTTATGAGGCTGGGAAGAAATAGAACTGGAAAAGGAAGGCTAACAAAGACTGCTGAAGCACTAACTGTGATGAAGGAGGAAACTCAAGAAAAGTATAATGTTGGGGAAACCAAGAGAAGAAAATGTGTCAAGGAAGGAGGAGTAACCAGCTGTGTTGATGTGCTACTAGGTCAAGTAAGATGTGGACTGAGAATGGCCAGTGGATTTACAATGTGGAAGTAACCAGTGACGATGACAAGAATAGTTTCTCTAAAGCTCTATGAAAAGAAATCCTAAAAGGTTACAGGAACTGTGAAGAGGAACTATATTAAGTCTGTTCAATGACAACTACTGAGAGAAATGAAAAGGTAAGAAAAAAGCTTTCCTTATCTCTAAATACAGTTGCACAAAGTTTCTATCAAGTGTTTCCAATTTTCAATGACACAATTAGGTTTCCAACTTCTAATAATTTAGGCTAAGACAAGACTTGGTACTTCAAGAAATTTTCAAAATCTGTTTAAAAGGTGTTCCATAGATTTCTTGGACCAAAAGCATCTAATTGCCTCAGTAGCTCTGTTCTGACCATTTCTGATCTTTCTGTACTTAAAGCATACCTAACCTCAATAGCCTCATCTTCTCTATGAACCCATCTGACCACAGACTTACTCTCTCTTCTGAATTCCTGGTAACTTCTGCCCTCTCCCCTACTCCCCCCGCACTTAACTATAACCCATTGTAACAATTTCATGTATATATACCATCATCAGTCTCTACTAAACATAAGCCCCCAAAGGAAGGCCAAGTCCTTATTGCAAATTGTATACTCCAGTTTTATGTTAATAGTGCCTGCAAATGTGCAACATATACAAGTATCTGAATTGATGGTAAATAAAGTGAGGAAAAAATTGTTTCTTTTTTTTTTTTTAAGAGCCATATTCGACAAATGGTGCTGAGACAACAAGATATCCACATGCAAAAGAATCACATAATATATAAAAACTAATTCAAATGAGCCGAATGCAGTGGCTCATGCCTATAATACAAGCACTTTGGGAACCCGAGGTGGGTGGATTGCTTGAGCCCAGGAGTTTGAGACTAACTTGGGCAACATGGCAGAACCCTGTCCCTACAAAGAATACAAAAATTAGCAGGCGATGGTGGTGCACGCCCCTAGTCCAAGCTTCTAGGGAGGCTGAGGTGGGAGGACTGCTTGAGCCCAGAAGGTCGAGGCTATAGTGAGCTGCGAGCATGTCACTACCCTCCAGCCTGGGCAACAGAGCGAGACTCTCTCTCAAAAAAATAAAAACAAAAATAAAAATTAACTCAAAATGGAATAAAGACCTAAATGTAAGAGCTGAAACTATCAAATTCTTGCAAGAAAACAGATGCATTTTTGACCCTGAATTAGGCAATGGTTTTTCAGATACGACACCAAAAGCACAAGAAACCAAAGAAAAAATAATTAAAATGGACTTCATCAAAATTAAAAACTTTTGTGTTGCAAACACTATCAACAAAGTGAAAAGATGGTTCATAGAAGGGGAGCAAATATTTGGAAATCACATTCTGAAAGGGT